TGTTCTTCCACTTCTTGCTGACCTCCACAAAGACGTCGTAGAGTCGGTCGATCTCCTGCACCGCCCGTGTGGGCTCCGAGTGCAAAGGAACCAGAATAAACTCCTTTATCGCTGCAGGACAGAGAAAACAAACAGGAAGTAAAGAAAGAGGGACAGAGTGGTGGGATGTAAAGGGGGCGGAGTCCACTCACCTGTTCTCTGACTCTGGAAGTGAACAGCGAACGGCTCCCTGGTGAACGATTGTGTCTTCTTGTACTGATGCTCCCCGAGCACGCTCACCGTGTCTGTCCTGTAAACACAGACTCAGTTTGAGCTGAGATCCCCGACCAGAGACACCGACTGGACTGACTGCTCTGAGTCTCACCTGTAGATGAAGACGTACTGCTGCATGTTGTTGGCAGATGTTCCCAGACTCTTACTGGACACCACCTTGTAGTTGTAGTCCTCGTACCTCCACACAGACAGAGAAACCTTTGATAACTAAACAACTTCAAGTTGTACAAAGAGACGCTTTGCCAGAACCGATGTTTTCCTCTGGTACAGTGCACTCTACTCTGCCGCTCTGTTTCTGCATGGGTCTGTAAACCTTTCTGTGTTCTAACCTCTCTCCATTTTTCAAAAGCATCTCCAATATTGATCCTAGTTTGAGCACGTTTCTGCTCGTGGAGCTTATTAGAAACATGCAGAGGCTTTTTAGGTCGGGTACAATCACTTCTATCTGAACCACTTCTCTGTTTGGCTGCTGCATTGTTGTCAGAGAAGCCAGCACTTCAACATAGCATGTTTCCTTAATGATCAGATAGTAAGATACCTTTATCATCTCACTCTCTACACAGCTCACTGATTGGACCTTTAAGGATCTGATTTCTTTCTCTCACATTAGCCGTTGCATATTTTCTGTTCTCTGTTGTTTTAGTTCCTAACAGTTTCACACATGCCAACAACATATGTTAAAAAAAATAATCATGCTTTTTGATCCTGTGTGGATTAGTGTTGTACCCTCAATCATGCAGCTTTGAGTGAATCTTCAAATCCCATGTTTTATTTACCGTAGCCACCAAGCCTGAATGGCACTCATAATCAGACTGCAACAATACCAATAAAAGCGTTTGAATGAAATCAGTGCATCAAACAGGCGCAGGAAGACCACCATGGTGTGTTCTGTTAGTCATGCTGAGCAGAGCAGAGCCTTGTTATTTCTGGCTTTTGTCAGGTGGAACCATGGACTGTATGAGAAGTTGATGCAGTTCTGAGAAATTAAGCCCACAACATTGTTTTAATTATTAATTAGTTCAATATAATTAAAAGTGCAAACTCCCTAATGTCCAGCAGGGGGCGATTTATGTGGTTGTTCCTTTTTGTGTGTTTATAACGCCTTTCTTACAATCGTAACAATTTGCATCCAAATTAATATCTAATAATAATTAAGAATGCTTTGCAAGCTGGAAATATAGGATTTGCTCGCCGCTCTTCAGGATACAGGATACACTGCAGGGCTGCCAGGGGAGGGCTGCTCTCCAGGTTTGGGAGAAGAGAGTCTCTGTGAGAGGTTTCAGAGGCTTGAAGCCGTCTGCTGAAATTCTTGGTTTGATATCGGGGAACTATGGCGTGATTAGCTGAAAAAGCCGTGTAGCGCCCTCTGCAGACTCATCCTGGGATTACTCTGACATATGTTTACCTCCTGATCTGAAACTTTGCCCACATTTAGATTGGACATCGTAACACAGAGTTTGAAATGGAGATCAGCAGAAGAGGTCGACTGTGGCGGAGGAAAGCATACGTGGCGTTCCACAAGGCTTTGTACTTAGTCCTCCACTTTTCTCTTTTTAGCATCTTAGCCTCATTTTAAAGAAATATGGCAAAAATATCACATTGTTTTACTGATGACACTATAATGTATGTCTCTGCTGCAGCCACTGTCCCTCCCAGTGTGAGAGAATGCATGTTGGAAACAGGACGTCTTACTTTGTAGATTTAATCTTACTGACCCCTTGAGATTTGAACCACAAAGTTTTCAATAACGCTGTAATATAAAGGGTATTGTTTTTATTAAATAGTGGATTTCTTTAAATTACATATAACAAAATGCTTGAATATAATGCATCATGCTGTAATTAGGCTCGAGCCCTCCCTCCCCCTGACATAAATGACCTCAATCGAACTCTTAGATTTAATTTGTTGTAACACTTTATTTTGGTAAGTCTGCTCAGCTGACTGTCATCAGAGGACGTTTCCTCCGCTGTCTGATTGAATTTACATTTCTGACCATTAACTGATTCGATTTGGCAAACAGAATCATTTTGGAAGCTTCAGTGTAAACCTAACGTCCTTACACTCCAGTTTGTTTTTAGCCTAGCTTAGAATTAAGACAGGAAGTATGGGCAAACAAGTACTTTGACCACATGCTAATGATCAAGGATGACTCACGTCAGAGCATGCTAATGATTCACAGACGGTTATATTTCTAGCTCCGCCCACCAGAACTGAAGAAGCCTTTCAGAGGAGGAGCGGTGAAACCTTTGCCTTTGGATCAAGCATCGAGTCTGCCATGACCTCGATGACTGAGAACCTTCACAGACAACTGTGATGACCTCCTCTAGACTTTAAGTTAAGGTCAAAGTCTGGGTGAATGATTCAAATGAAATGTGGATTATTTCAAGTGTTAGAACTTCTTTTTGTCTGGATGTCATTCACCTGCCATCTGATGGACAGTCAGCTGATTGTTGCCGGTTTACCTCATCATCAACTGCACAAAATAAAGTGTTACTCTGTTATAACAGGCGTTAGGATTAGTAGAGACATTAATTGATTGGAATGATTAATTAGGTTTAGACGGCGTTTCACATGCTCGAAAAAAATCCAGCATACCTGTCAATATCCCTGTTGGAGGCAGACACATACAAGGAAGTATTAATCAACATGATGCAGTGTTAGTGTCACAGTCTGAGTCACAGCTAATCCTTATTACTCATTTAAATGTGAAAATTTAAATGTACAAACATGTTAATGTTAAAAATGTTATGACATTTAAATAACGGCCGTTCATCACAGCGTTTTTGGTTTGTTTATAGTTTGAAGAGAAATACTTTCTCAGACCAGCAGGGGGCAGCAGAGAGAGAGGACGATGTTAGTGAGAGAGAGCTGATTGTCTACCTTTCACTGTACCTGTTGAGGGACGCCAGCAGAGATCTGATGGCTTTACCGTCCGGATCCATCACTTCCTGCAGGAGAGTGATGTCACAGCGAGACACAATCTACACACACACACACACACACACACACACACGTCTAAATTGCTGTATCACAACTATAAACAAGGAACTTTCCGGAGTCAGTCTTTCTATCGAAGCTAGCTTAGCATTAGCCCTGTTTATTATTCCCAAACTATAATCACCAAAACAAGTGAGTGCATGAAGAGTGTGTCTGAGAGGATACAACTCGTACATACAATCAAAAGTTTGTAACATGAACATTTTACAGTCTAACTCGTATCTTTTCCTGGAGGAGCTGTGAAATGATGCAGATTAAACTGTCCATCGTTAAAGAAGCGTTGATATTCAGAATGATGAAACATGAGGAGAGACACTGACCCGCGTCAGAGTGTGCATCAGTCTGGAGTCAGACGCCTTCTCCGAGTTGAATCTCTGCAGAGTGTACGCACAGATCCTGAACTCTGATCTTTTAGCTCTGCAGACGAGGAGGAAGGAGACGAGGAGGAGGAGGAGGAGGGGAAGAGAGCGCCACCTCATGGTTACACTGTGGAGAAAACAAAAAAACACTTAATGTTGAGACAGATGATGATTAACTTCTTCAAATCAAACATTTATCCTAAACTGCGAGTTAACTGTATCCTAAATATTCCACTTTTATTTTTCTCTCTTAAGCCCCGTTCAGACCGCCGTTTCAAGTCGCTGTGGTGTTTATCATTCAGTCTGAATGTCTGGCGTTACAGAGGAGAGACAGGATCAGCTGAGCCAGCGGGGGAGAACAGCGCTGTTTGTGTGTGTGTGGTGCTTCTACAGCGGCTAAACACACCATGACGTCACAGACTGGGACGCCAATATCACGCCATCGTGGAATCATTATGAACGTACAAAGATGAGATGACAGCTGAGCTGAGTCTGAAAGGTTCTGTAAGTGAAACCTTCAGGTGGTGTAGAGGTCAAAGGTCAAAGGTGAAACCAGCAGCAGGTAATGCTGCATTCCCGATGTGTCAGTGAGTAAACGCCTGCTGCGCCAAGTCATGGATGAGCTGCATCGTGTCGTTATTTGAATGTTTCCAGAATGTGAGGGTGGAAAGGTTTACCCAGCAGAGTGTGGACACAGTGAGTCACTGATCCATGAAACTACAGACTGCTGAACTGTAAACAAGTTAAAAACACAGAGGAACAAAGTGCAAGGGAACGACGAGCCTGCAGTCATTAACTGAGGGAATATTTAACTCAGGGGAGGAGACGCCGCGGGGGAAAGAGGAAAGATGGCCGCCGTTTGAAATTTAAAGAGAGAGAGACAGAGAGAGAGAGAGAGAGAGAGAGAGAGCGAGAGAGAGGTTAAACTGGTCTGAAGTTGGAGTGTGAACGTGTTCAGACATGAAGCAGAATCTCAGTTTTCATCTTTTACTGAAGAATCAGCAGCTGTCAACAAAAGATTCATTCAAACAAACTGCAGGAATCTCGGTGTTAAAAACTCTGACTTTGTTCTTCTCAGATTCATCTGTAAAATCAAACATCTTAATGTGTCAGTGACGTTCACCTGATCCTGGCTTTTCATTGGTCCCTCTATACGGGGAGATCTCAGGCGTCCCTTCACCGCCTTCAGTCAGAAGAAAGCGCGTTGCATTGGCTTTCTGTGAATGACTTTTAGCCTGGACGCCCTGTGTGTCTGCACGCCACCTCTATGATGTCCATGCTCTAATGAAGCAGCTGCATTCTGTTTCCTGTTTTCTCAGCTGTATGTATTAGGAGCGGGTTAGAATCCTCCAGCTGAGAGGAACTTTAACAGGAGGTCAGATTATTAAGACAGCGTCAGTCTGCTCCATCGGTCCAGCAGTGAGTCAGGATGGGGTGTCTGAGGCTCCGGGGCCGCTCCCCGGCCTGCAGGTGGTCAGACCAGTCGAGTCACTTCTGCTCTTCAACGCCCCGTCAGCACACTCAAGTCCTCAGTTTAAAATAAAACACCAAACTATGAGAGGAAGTCTGCAGCTGTGGACGTCCTAACTGAAATAATCCTGAACAGGAGCCCCCCCTGACCCCCCTGACCCCCCCAATCACCTGGACCCACAGCAGCTCTTTGATCAAATACAGGACTAAACATGTCGCTCACATGTTCATAAAATACAGACTTCTCCTTCAAAATAACTTGTCTGATGTGGATTTGGAGAAACAGTGCGCTGCGTTTTGGAGTCGTGCAGAAGCTGTTTTGAACGAGGTTTAGGGTTCGCAGGGAGCTGGAGCTGATCCCAGCTGTCATTGGACGAGAGGCGGGGTTACACCTTGGACTGTTCACCAGCCAATCACAGAGCTGACATTTAGAGACAGACAACCAGACACACTCACATTCACACCTACAGACAATTTAGCAGTTAACCTAACGAGCATGTCTTTGGACTGTGGGAGGAAGACGGAGAACCAGGAGAGAACCCACACATGAACGAGGAGAACATGCAGACTCCACACAGAGAGACTCCTGAAGGACGGGGATTCAAACCAGGAACCTCCTCACAGAGAGACTCCTGAAGGACGGGGATTCAAACCAGGAACCTCCTCACAGAGAGACTCCTGAAGGACGGGGATTCAAACCAGGAACCTCCTCACAGAGAGACTCCTGACAGACGGGATTCAAACCAGGAACCTCCACACAGAGAGACTCCTGACAGACGGGGATTCAAACCAGGAACCTCCTCACAGAGAGACTCCTGACAGACGGGGATTCAAACCAGGAACCTCCTCACAGAGAGACTCCTGAAGGACGGGGATTCAAACCAGGAACCTCCTCACAGAGAGACTCCTGAAGAACGGGGATTCAAACCAGGAACCTCCTCACTAACCACTGCAGCACCGTGCAGCCCTAAATTGATCCATAGCATGAAGCTTTAAAAAGTCTGCATTGATTTAAACGACAGGTGTGTTGGAGAGAAAGAGTCCTTCAAAATAAAACTAGAAAAACACATTGTCAACATTTCAGCAGCAAAATGTTAACAATGTTTTCTAATTTAGACATCGTGCCAGAGCTTTTTCTCAACATTTAATCATTGAAGAAATTAATATTTGACGTCTCGGACTTCATATTTTGTTGCTGTGGTTTCAAACAGATTTATCAACATCTTTAAATATTTACTCAGATCATAACAAAGTTTAGAAATCTGAATTTCAGTCTTCACCAAAGTCACTGGAGACACATTAATCTTCAACCCTGGATGACTCCAAACATTATGATGCACAAGCCTTAAAGCTGATTTGACTTATTAACACATGAAGACGATGACTGAAGTCTGGAATCTAAAAGTCCCTGAAGATAAAAACAGAACCATGAATCACAGGAGTTTCTACTCTCAGGTGACGAGACCTGCTCACAACACCTGAGAGTGAGTTACTCTAAACACACACACACACACTCCCCTCTCAGCTCTCTTAAAGCTCATACATACACACACACTGAGCACACCCAGCAGCTGTTACTGGTCTAGTCCCAGTACAGAGTGCTGGTGCTACTGGTTTTCTTACCTGTTCAGGTGAGCGGAGGGTCGACTGTTTGTCTCTGCTGCTGCTCAAACTCTGCTGAGCTTCCTGATGCCGCTGCAGGGTGGAGGCTGTTACCTGCTGATGTCATCTTAACACCTTCCTGGTTGTTAGGTTGGCCACGCCCCTCTACTACTGCTGCGTTCAAGGCTCTGGGAAAAGATAGGATGTTTGTACTTCACAGCACAGGTCCCACTAGCTGCCTGTCAAGTGAGAAAACACAACTGGAGAGAAGTCTGAATTATTGATCGGACATTTCTGTCATCATTTAAAATGATATGATATTTGTTTTACATCATGTGATCTTTTCTGTTGAAATAGACGAACAGGAAGAACAGTGTTGCTCAATATTTTCTCAGGGTCATTAAACGCCCTGATTTCATCATCATGATCCCAACAACTTTTCCTGAAGCAACTTGTCATGGCATTGCAGAAATAATAACTTGTAAACAGATTTTAGGAACAGGGAGGTTTCGTTTTACGATGAATCTTTAAAAATAAAAAATGTAAATACTGATCATGTTTGTATAAAAGAGAGAATGTCGTGTTTTCAACAACTTTTAAATGTTTCTGAGTTTCTCCAAAGTTACTTAATGTGGCTTAAACAACAAACGTAGATCAGGTCGTTACATTAACCTCCACTCTCATGAGAAACATTAAAACACAGCTTTCATGATCCTTCTTATTAAATTAATAAATACATTATTTAAGTTAATTATCCATCAGTTTAATTATTGTTTGTCCAGCTGACTATTTGAATTTAGAATAGAATAGATGTTTATTGCCATTTGCACAGGTACAGTACAGGTACATTGGAATTCTTGTACGTTTCTCCCTGAGTCAGCTTCTACAAAAAAAGTTAAAATGATATATAAAATAGAAAAGCATTATAAGAAAAAAAGAGAAGAAAAGTACAAATAAAGTAAAAGTAAAAATAAAAAGTTGTAGTAACAGCTAAGTGATTTAAAATAAACTGTACAGAAGTTATACCCTGAAAGATATAATACAAAAAAAGAACAAAGGGGAACACTGAACAAGGAAATGAAAACATAAATAAGTTTTCTTATTGCACACATATTTTTCACATGATATAATTACACTGTTTTAATATTGCACACTTGTATTGCACTGTGAGGTGTGGGGTGAACTACTTCCTTCCCATCTTAATGTCCTTTCATTTAAAACAACTTTACTGTTTTAATTTACTGTTAGTTTGTCTTCGTGTTCATCCATCAGGATCTTTATTCAGTAAGGTCATTACTCACATCAATACTGCCCCCTAGTGTACGGTAACGATTAGTGCATTATGTCCTTATATGGTGCTGTCCGACGTCCACCAGGCCCCGCCCACTCCTGGAAGCTCCAGCGGGGATAGTTTCAGGAGTCAGTCCGCTGAGAGTGGACCCACATCCCGCAGCAGGACGGTCCTGACCGGAGCTTCAGACTTGATTCTACCCGCTGGCATGGACTAACCGGAGCGGGGAGAGAGTCTTCAGAGCCCGGGTGAGTTATTTAAACCTCAGAGAGTCAAATAAATCAGTGAACATCAGCTGTAAACAAACTTGTTAGCCTCTCGGCTAACTTTGTTATGATGGAAGCTAACGGGGTTAGCCGTTAGCACTGCAGCCTCTTCATTCAGACAGAAACAGAAACAGGACAGACCGGTTTGAAAACTGATTTAAACTTCAGTTTTAATACTTCAGAAGGATCAGCAGCTGTCTTTTTAAAGAGCTGTACCCCCCACAGACACTTCATACAACGTCCTTCACTTTAAAGTAGTTAGCTTCAGGCTAACTGTCTTTATAACTGTTAACGTGTCTGTACCTGAAGCTCACCTGAGCTGTCACAGGTACAAACTGTATTATCTATTCACCTGGTGAAGAGGTATTCATGCTACCTTTAAGGACACCTCGTAAAATCCCACTTTCTCTCCTTTTACTGCTTTTACTGGTGATGTTCATTTTAATGATTATTCTGACTTGTTGACGTGTTTTATTAGATTTTAGTTTCATGTTCCATCTTTGGTCCTCTCGGTCTCATCTCCTGGTTGTTGGCTTCTCTTGATGCTTATTATGACACTTGGTCATGTTTCTTAAAGTCTGATGATACAGTAAGAACAGTTTGTGTTGCTCCTTTAAGCTCTGACTCTGAGTGAACCCTCCAGATGTTCACGTCTTCTGAGTGAACCCTCCAGATGTTCACGTCTTCTGAGTGAACCTTCCAGATGTTCACGTCTTCTGAGTGAACCTTCCAGATGTTCACCTCTTCTGAGTGAACCTTCCAGATGTTCACGTCTTCTGAGTGAACCCTCCAGATGTTCACGTCTTCTGAGTGAACCCTCCAGATGTTCACCTCTTCTGAGTGAACCCTCCAGATGTTCACGTCTTCTTAGTGAACCTTCCAGATGTTCACGTCTTCTTAGTGAACCTTCCAGATGTTCACGTCTTCTGAGTGAACCTTCCAGATGTTCACCTCTTCTGAGTGAACCTTCCAGATGTTCACGTCTTCTGAGTGAACCTTCCAGATGTTCACCTCTTCTTAGTGAACCTTCCAGATGTTCACGTCTTCTTAGTGAACCTTCCAGATGTTCACGTCTTCTGAGTGAACCTTCCAGATGTTCACCTCTTCTGAGTGAACCTTCCAGATGTTCACGTCTTCTGAGTGAACCTTCCAGATGTTCACGTCTTATGAGTGAACCTTCCAGATGTTCACGTCTTCTTAGTGAACCTTCCAGATGTTCACGTCTTATGAGTGAACCTTCCAGATGTTCACGTCTTCTTAGTGAACCTTCCAGATGTTCACGTCTTCTGAGTGAACCTTCCAGATGTTCACGTCTTATGAGTGAACCTTCCAGATGTTCACGTCTTCTTAGTGAACCTTCCAGATGTTCACGTCTTCTGAGTGAACCTTCCAGATGTTCACCTCTTCTGAGTGAACCATCCAGATGTTCACGTCTTCTTAGTGAACCTTCCAGATGTTCACGTCTTCTTAGTGAACCTTCCAGATGTTCACCTCTTCTGAGTGAACCATCCAGATGTTCACCTCTTCTGAGTGAACCTTCCAGATGTTCACCTCTTCTGAGTGAACCCTCCAGATGTTCACGTCTTCTGAGTGAACCTTCCAGATGTTCACCTCTTCTGAGTGAACCTTCCAGATGTTCACCTCTTCTGAGTGAACCCTCCAGATGTTCACGTCTTCTGAGTGAACCCTCCAGATGTTCACGTCTTCTGAGTGAACCTTCCAGATGTTCACCTCTTCTGAGT